CCTAAAACACATATAGTTTTTTTTTTTTTTTTTCTAAGAATATTTGTTTCGAAAGCTACTTTTGGTGCTTCGAAACACTGTTTTGACTGCTCCAAAAGCCACTTTTGCTGCTCCAAAACACTGTTTTGGCTGCTCCGAAAGGTGCTCCAAAACGGTTTAGGCCAATCACATCACTGAGAGAGCAGAATATATAATTTGGAAGTTCACAAACATTTCACCGTCTCTTGAAAAGACTAAAATCAGCATTACTGGCCAAAGAAAGTCTCTGACATTGCAGCCAGATTTGTCTTGTTTGCCGTCGTCTAGGTAAAATGCTCTGAATACTACATAGATTGTTTTCAGTAGCCTGGTATCAGTCGCCGACCGATTTATCGGATGGCAATGATTTGTACCGGTTCCATATTTTGGACCTAGACGAGAAACCGTGACCTACCCGATAGAAATAGTGCATATTCACAACCGCCATTTCGGATAGCTTGAAGTCCAAATGTTTGATTTTTTGGACAAAATTGTTGCGAGCAATCAGCAAAAGACACCTTCGAGAAGCCACCATTCTAGATTCTGTGTTGGTCGCACATGGATTGGCTTGGTTTGGCAGCGCTACCTGAGTACTGCCAAGTCCTACTGCTAGGTGACGCTTAAGGCGCATTCACACTGAGCAAAAAACGCCCGTTGCGGTTGACGTCGACGCCGGCGTCGTAAAATACGAAGCAGTCACACAGGGCCACCCGACGGCAGCGTCTTCTTGGGGAACCTCGCATTTGTCGAGAGAACACGGAATATCTTTATTCGTCTGCTTCGCACGATCGTTGTTGCCTTGCCTTTGTGATTGCATATGTGGTGGGAGACAACCATTTCCACTGAATGGACAGCGGCGATGATTACATGTAGTACCAGGGGTGGCCATGCTGACCCGGCCCGAGAGCCGCAAACAAAACCACGAAACTTCCAAGAGCCGCAGGGGGGGGGGGGGGGGTCAAACTTTTGTCCAGAGCAATAAACGAAACTCAAACTACTTTCAATCTATCCGAGTCAAAAGCAGTCAAACTGCCCGTAAGATAGCTGTAGCACAAGACTACCAAACCGCAACCTGTCTTTCGATTTAAAATGCGTTCCCTTTCCCCTTTTGGGGAAGTGCTCGTCTGACCAAGAGGGAGGCAGGGGAGTGTGTGTGTGGGAGGGCTCGGGGATGGAGCCGCGAGTCGCACTTTAACACGTGAAGAGCCGCAGCTTGGCCACCCCTGACATATACGTTTACACTTCGGTTATATGCAGCATTGGCGAAAGGCACGGACTCGAGTGGGCAGCTTCAGAAGGTGCTGTTTTGCCGCGTTTTTGTGCAAAACAAAGCATGGTGCTACGCCGGCGCATCCCACAGCCTTCGCGTCCGTACCTTTAACACTGCACGCATTTTGTGCCAGAGTGTTCTCGATGGAGAATTGTTGTATTCCGTAGTGGTGAGTGCACACAAAGACTACACAACACATTGAGAGTGATCGCTACTGCACAGTCGGAGGTCGGAACCGTCGGAACACGCCGCGAACTTCGGTAGCAGCTTTCACGCAAACGATGAAGACTAGTTTCCCAGCGTCGTACACCCACATAAAACACTGCTCACAGACAGATGTTCCAATCGGCTTGCTTCTCTCCACACTGAAATGCTTCCAGCCACGTTTGGCGAGTGCACGAATCCCCCGACCCCTCTGCCTTTTCGCCTTCATTGTGGGTCGAAAATAAAAACAGTGAAAACATGTCCTAACCGGAAAAGGCCGACACGTCACGTCCGGACGCTTGCTGATTGGTTCAAGCGCGCGCGTCGAGGGAAAAATTGGGATCCGAGGGGTGTCGTCTCACTGCGTCATCCTCCTCGGCGCGTGACTTTTTTCAATACAAAAATAAGCAAAAAATTCACCCCACGAGACGTGTGTTTCCACTGTGAATGCGCCTTTAGGGCTCTCTAGCTGCGCGTCATTATCATCATCATTGTCACCATTTTTCTCTGTTCGTTCGCCTTTCTGTAGTCGTGGACTCTCGCCTCTCATCTCGTCTCGGTGAATCATGTTTTCAGACTACGCTGGCTCGGACGTCATGGCCCCATCTGTTTTTCCGTCGCCGCGAAGTGTCGCTAAGAAGCACGAAAGTGCTAGACCATAACGCTAAAAAAGAAGGCAGCGATTTTCGAGCTAATAGAAAGTGGCCAAACGCAAGCGGAGGCTTAACCTGAAGCAAGGCACTATTGACGGCCTTTTTAACCTCGCTTAGACGTATTGGAGGCGAGCTTTTAATGTGCCGATTTTTCGGACTGCCCTATTATTCGGACGTTTTTTTGGTCCCTGCAAAGTCCGAAAAATCGGTCGGCGACGTAGCTGCGTAGAAATTAACTCCATATTTGGAAGAAGCCCCGCAAGATACATTCGCTAAGTGGAGGACTTCGAGGTTGGGTCATAAATGAGAGAACAGTATGCAGGCTGAATCATACTGACAAGGATCAGGGAGCGGAGAATATTCCGCACAATAACTACACTCAGTAAGTGGTTTGTGCAAGATTTTTCACAATTTTTATTATCTAGATTCTTATTATTTTTTTTCTTTGCTATTTTTAATGTGTTTTATTTAATATTTATTTTATTATCTTCACTCAAAACGTGCCACTCTGGCCTGCATGTTTGCATGCAAAGAAAATCATTGGCCCTTCCAGAGTAGCTGTGCTTGCAGCTCGGTGGCTATACTATCCAACTGCCGCTGCAAGTTTGAGATTCGCTGGGGCGTCTTTCTTACGTCGATTTTACGTGAGCCTCTACAAGCTTTATATATAACCTTAAGGGAAGATGTGAGGCAAAAAATCGAGTTTACGGTATTTCGAAAATTGTTGATTTTTTTGTTTTTCCTCGTTTTATTATCCTCGGACATCGTACTGTTAGGAGTAAAAATATGAAAACAATATTCGCACACGAACTTGGGGAAAAACGTGTCTTACTGTCTCGCAGTGCTCGAAAAATCTCAAGTTTATGCGAATATCCGCCATCTTCGAGAGGCCGTCACTCGGAACAGCAGCACTTTTTACGTACTTCCAATTCGATTTGCAATTGGCAACTCTAAAAGCATGATTTTTGCTTTTGAAACTACTGAAGCAAGTACAAGTTTCAAAAAAGGCGATGCAAACGCGAGTGGAGGAGGTCAGCGGAGGAACGTTTACCGCGGTGTGCTAAGCCTAGCCACGTTAACAGCGACCGTTTTAACGCAATCAATGTTCCGTTTCTGTTTGTTTGCACTGGCTTCCTTCGAAAACAAATAATACAGAACACTGGGCTATGACTCTGCGAGTTCAGTGATGTGCGACATCGTGAGTGGTGTGGTCTGCCCCGGTTGTCAGAAGTCCAGATTTTCTATGCGTTCATGTGTCGGCTGGTAACGCTAGGAATTTTCATTGTCCCTCAAACTACACTGAAAAGAGCAAGTGCCGCGAGTGGGTTTTTTTTTTTTTACGTTTTCATTGAAGCGTGCCGCATTGGATGGGGACGTGTAAGCGCAGAGCGAAACTATGACGGGAGCTCGCGCGAGTTTTACTGTCAACTTCCAAGCAATTCCCGGCCTGCTAGCACCTTTGCTAGCAAGAAAGTTCCTGCCGCTGTCACAGAAACTGTCAAGCGAAACCTTGTGAATACCGAAATGCCGACGTGGTATGAACAGCTATTGTAGCTAATGCCTGACGGCACATGGTGCAAGAGGGGCCAGAAAAGTCACAGCATACAGTGCGAGACGGGTGTCGTATATTGCACTAAGGAACGGTGGATCGGTACGAGAAAGGGTGTAATATGTTGATCGGCTCGGAGCCGGAATCTGTTCTAAGCGTTGGGCGCGGGGCTAGTCTTTGTGCGCAGAAGCGAGACGGCCCAAACGGCTCTGGTGCTCGGTGGGGCTACCTTCAACATCGGGTTCGTTGAGTCCGAATGTTTCCTGAACGCCCTACGTATGTTCTGGCCATGTTTCACGTATTTGCAGAGTATGCATCTCTTGAACTTTCAAATGCACTTTTCTTGATTTGCAACTTTGGGTTGTCTTCACAGTTTGTGCAATCTGTTTTTGGTACTTAGATTCTTCCAATCATAATAAAAAAAAAGTGCATGTATTATCTCAATGATACGAAGAGCACAAATATCTATTTGGAATTCCAATATCTTATGTTTTTTATAAAGAAACTAAATTATAAAAGGCTTAAAAAAAGGCTTTGAAATCTTTTTTTTTTTATTATTAAATTAGAAGTTTGTACACTGCTTTTGGCTAGATACTGGCACTTTACATTTCATAGGGACCATAATAAGCTATTGCACCATGCTCGTTGCAAAAAATTAGTGCTCCTAGATGCCTATGTAGTTGTTTCTGCCTCCGGAAAGAAAACTAAAGAAGCTATATTAAAACTAATACCTGTTTCTTTTTTTTAAATAAACTTTATAATTAGCTGAAGTTTTGTTATTCTAGAGCAAATATTTTTAAAAAAAGAGTCCCCTACTCTCATTTTCCCTTAGCATTGTGCAACGCTCCCAGCGTGCCAGTCGTTCGTGACAATTTTTTCATAGAAAAGGACCGAAAAAACATGTCTGCATTAAAGGCCGACGGTGTTCTGCAGGGAAGGCAATCCTCTTGGCTCTCCCTTCTCCTAAGCTGCAAGGGGTGCCAAGTTGGGGCAACACCTCCTATATAAGAAAGCCCAAGTGCTGAATTTTTGTGCCTCACTAAAGGTCACCGTACTACGGCGTCAACATTCAGCTGGGGCTCTCGCCGATTGGACATCTGTTCTTGTCGAACGATGACTTAGCACTCGTGTCCAACCTATGGCCTAGGATGGCCTTCTTCAGTGGCAAAGGAAAGCACTTAGGCTTTCTTATCTAGAAGATGTTAACTGGGGCAAGGTCAAAAGAGGAAAGCGCGAAGTGTTCGTCAGGCCTTTAGGTAGAAGCTCCAAGACCCTTGCCCTCTCTCACCTTGACTTTGCCTCGCAGGTTTCAGGTGGACAACGGAACCCCGTCCTTCTGGGTCCTTCCAAAAGGCAGTGCCTACGAGGCTCGCTTTCTCAGAGAGACCGGAAAGCAGTGACACCTGGCCACCGTCAACAAAAGCAGCAAACCGCCCCAGTCTTCCCAAATAAAAATGTGACGACGCACACAATGTATTTTTAAAATTGGCAACATTTATTTTCACTTTTTTTCTTCTTTTTGTGGTGAGCAAGGCGCGCAGATAAATAGCTGGAAATGTGGCTCACTGCAATATTGTATTGAAAGCGTATGCACCTTTGTTTGTCGATAATCTGTACGAAAGATTCTATAGGCCTCCGCTGACTTAGATCGGGACGATAAAAGCGCGTCTAAACTCGCGCGACACTCGCGACAGGCGCGCTACTATGCGCGGATTGAGGAATAAATAAGATTAATAAGCAGTTAGCGCGATCTGAAAAAATTTCGGCGAACGAGACGTATGATTGAGATTTTTCTAACCACAGTGCTATTTGCGAAAAGGTACGGCAGAGAACGGGTGCTTTTTTTGCAAAAAGTTGCAGCTAGAAAAGGGCTCAGACCTTCAGCTATCCGTATTTAGTCTCTCCGGAACAATGTCTGCGCAGGTCCTCGTGGGACCTTGTAAAAATATGTTTTGTAACAGTGTTTATCACAATGGCTCTCTAATCTACTATATGGTGCAAAACATCTGTCATTGCTACGACAATCCTCTTGTGCCATTCATCTTGTAACAAACATTTCAGAATCTGGCAAGTTAGCTTCGGCAACAAGACTGTAGTTCAATGTTCATAGCTACCGAAAAAACCAGCATTGTACGCTATTGCTAGCCAAGTGCTACATGTGCTAAACATCTGTTCAAAAAGAGCACTAACTGAACACTTTACATCTTCAGTGACAATCAAGTGTGTCATATCACCGGGGACAAACTTGTTTGTAGCACGGTGCAACAAATATCCAAAATGGGTATGTCTCCTCACTTGTGCTCCATCTCCTCACCCATAATTGCTGCAAGGAGGAAAGGCCAATGTGGAACCAAGGCAGGCAAGGTGTTTTTCTCCTTGCACACTTTCGTGGTGACCTTCAATCTCCATAGACCAATGCTGAGAGAGCTCCATTTTGGATTGTGTTGTTCCTACAGAACAGGCACATGCAGATCATCAATTCTACTATGTGAAATCACATGCAGATGGCCTTTCATCTGAAAGTTCCAAATGTCTGGATCAACATTTTCCGAAAAATTCCAAAATTTGCCTTGGAAAAAAAGTGCCATTGCTATAATTGGGTTGAAAAGAAGCCACCCGGCTTTACAGTGGTATTTCCCCGCAAAGACTATGCTAATACATAATGGGTAATTGTTTTATCTTTGTTCTCCAGAATAAAAGTTCCAGCCTTAGGACAATTTAAACAAATAATCAGTACTGTTTTAATAAAAATGCATCAATTCCCACATACTACGGAAACAAGTTGGATGTTTATACGGCAATATTATCTATACGAAATTTGTGAGATATTCATTAAAAATTTGAAACAATGCTTAATTAGCCATCTGCAATACCAATTCCAGCCAGAATTAAGAATTTTAAGGTGTTTCACAGTTCTGATTCATGCGAGGTGTTGGGGCCGTATGGTTCTGCCGAATGTACAGGGTATAAAAAAAAAAACAAAAAAAAAAACTGTTTGTTTTAGCGCAAAAATAAACTAGGCATCGCCAAACGCTCATTCTCTCCCCAAAGGTAGCGCTAGAGGTCTCAACCAGGTGCCAAAGTTTCAGCCCAATCCGATACCATATTCAAAAGTTATAAATGATTTTCTAAAAATTTCAATGGGAAAATGGCGGCCGACGGAGTTTTTGAATACATGGGGGTTTACGGGCACCGGAAACTGAAAACGGACAAAAGTGGGCTCCATTTTCCCATTGCAATTTTTAGAAAATAACTTTTGAATATGGTATTGGATCGGGCTGAAACTTTGCCATCTGGTTGTGACCTCTAGCGCTACCTTTGGGTGGAGAATGAGCGTTCGGCGATGCCTAGTTTACTTTTGCAATAAAAAAAAGCTGTAAATTTTTTAAAAAATTTTGTGGCACCCTGTAGTTTTAGTTTCCAACAATAAAAGGTGAGCAAATTTTACATTAAAAAATGTACGTCTTTTGCTGCAAAATAAAAACAAAAGCTGACCTGGAAGGTTAGGTCGGGCATTTACATGTATGTTTTAAAAGATCATGGAAGTGACGTAATAGCATCCGATTAGCAGAGGCAATTGGCTCCACCAATCGGATGCCATTGCGTCACTTTCGCAACCTTCTAAAACATGCATGTAAATGTTCAACGTAGCCATCCTGCATACAGTACTGCCTGTGTACACTGCAAGGACTGATGGTACTGTGCCATGCCACAGTGCACTCATACCATTGGGAAAGCGCACTCCACGGAGCTAAACCTAACAAAGCGAATTTAAGCTTACTTGCTCCGATTCAAAAAGGGGGTTCAATTTCTGCTGTGACTGATTAGTGAAATCAGTATTGGTATTTTTCAAAATATTTGCAAATTTCTGCATACTTGACTTTTATGCTCAGTCAAGGTCCAGCTAGTGCTCCCCCTGAACATAGCTAAAACTGTGATTAGCACATCCCTAGGTACATGAGAGATGTTAGTAGAAGTGTTGGCCTGTGCTGAGAGAGTTATAGACAGTAGGTACACATTTGGGACCTTGGACGGATTCCGGTCAGGTAACGTTATCACACAGTGAGGAGCATCTAGGCACTTGGTTCCTGCATTTTGTTTTAAATTTATGTCACACTTTTTCATATTTTTTACATGAGCATGCTGTCATTGAGTCGTCTCGGGTGCTAAGCAACCCACGCCAGACATGAGAGCCACGTCGATTTATAAGTACGAGCAACTCGTACCAAGAAAGTAAGGTTCACCTAGACCAGAAGCGTCCTTTAATTACACGAAGAACCTCGCGGTGCAGACCACCCTCATAACATGGCTGCCTATGGGTTTCAGTTCCAGCGACCGCAGGGAAAGGTGCTTAATTGCACCAAGTTTGACAGCGCTACTGTAGTAGCAGGTTATTGCTGGTCAAATGTAGCCTCGAATGCTACGCTAGAGTGCCTACAAGAGCTGCTGAGAATGTGGTCTGGGTGCAGCCAGCAGCGCAAGTCTAAATGGCCCCTCTGACTCTTATCACAGGAAAGCGAGCTTGGGAAGCTCGCGTTCAGGAATTCTGGGAGGTGATGTTTCCAAAAAGTCTCGACAAATTCTTGAAGCTTTACAGTGGTCGCTTTTGTGCCGAGGAACAACGGACAATTGTTGCCAAGCTCTCCACGGTCACTCCTTTCTTTCCTTGGAAGTCACTTTACTGCAACTTTTGTGGTCTTCAACAGCGTTCAGAATGGCTTCAGGCATACGTCCAGAGATCTTTAAATGCCGAAGTGCATCCTTTTAGAGTGGTAAAAAATTACGAGTAGACTCAAAATTTTTCTCACTTTACATGCGAGCTGAAAAGACATGTGCTCATAATTTGCAGCTCATACCTCTGCTTGTTTAAAGAGCCACTGAAATCTGTCAATTTTATGCTTCTTGAAGAACATTACTCGCCGTGTCTCCTGGAAAGATCTCCTAGACTCCCCCGACGAGGGATGTTGCTACGACAATTTGCGGACTAAACCAGACTGCCGATGCAGAAATTTAGGTTTAAGACAGTAGCTTGCTTTTCTTTCTTCTCTCGCACCCCATGCAGACAGCAAGTCGTCTGCTTCTTGCTCAGAAGTTGCGGTGACATCGGAACGACGCCAGGCTGGTTGGCTTTGATTGGAAGGATAGTGGGTAGACCTCAATGCTAGATGCCTTACCCACTACATTTTTTTTAACCAGCCAATAAGAGCTCGGCGTTCTGACATCATCGTAACTCCTGCGCAAGAAGCAGACGACTTTCTCTCCGCATTGCACGTAAGACATCCACACCGGAACCACTTAGGCTTTCATGACTTAGTGAAATGAGACGCGCTGCAAACCCCGCAGTGGAAGGAACAGAGAGTGCACAAACAGTTTTCACACTCTGCAAAGAAACAATGCCTATGTACAAAATTCGGTGCCCAACATGGGCCCCTTCGAGACAACTATACAACCTCGAGATGTGTCTGAAAACATAATATTTTCTATGTACAATGTGTGGCCAACCGAGCAAACAATGATTCGTAATGGATAATCAACTTTGAGTGGACTATCTTATTTTATAAACAAAAATATATTACTACCTAAATTATCCACCATTCAAAATAAATTCGCTGACCCGCTTGTAGACCGAAAAAATCTAATCCCCATCAGCATTTCGTATCCACTTGCTCCCCTTGGCTCGAATGGTGGCGGCATCAAACCCTATCCTAACGAAACTTTTGCAGATGCTCAAATATTCCAGTTAACGCTTAGCAGCATTTAGAGTTCAAGAACGACGATTATATCTTTTTGTACGCAGCTGTACGACTGAACACGAAGAAACGTTTTCCGAGAAATGCACGTCGGCTGCCGTCATAAGAGCAACTCGACGCGCTCGATAAAAAGATCTGGGATTGCGAATGAATTTGCTAAATGTCGGCCATCAAAGGAGCAGAAGGTAGAGCCTTTGTACGCCTTGCCTCGATCGGGCAAGACACACTCGCAGACCTTAGAGAGAATCATTCATTCCTCGTGGAGAGACCGCAAAAAACCGGCCGGCGAAATTTCAGGCAGGGAAACGGCAAACACAAACATGTTACTATCTAAAACTCCGAGGTGGCAGAACAGTCTGTACTCGCCACGCAAAGTCCAGAGTCGTGCGCAACGTCGTCTCTGCACCGCACTTGGGCCTGGCGCACTCTCCGGCCCCGTTGAGATTACCGACTCGACTGTCGCAGAGATCGTCGTAGAGTGCGCACCATCAGATCTCGGCAGGTCCGGCCATGGAAAGCAGGGGTGCTGCCTGGAAGGCGTCTCCAACCGGCGCATATTCTTCCGCCCGTGCATCCAAAGTGGTCCCAAAGCGGCAACAAATGATGTCCCAAAAGCCAGAGTGTCACGTTGTCGGACGTCCCGACCCTGGCGGTTGGGCGTCCAAGTTGCAGCAAAAGGCAGGAGAGCAAACGCAACTGTCGCCGTTGTAGCGGCACTCCTGGCTGCTAAAACGGCCGTGGACCTTCAAGCTGGAGAGTGCAGCGGAACGGGCATCTGCCCCATCCAGCACTGCTGCAGCGACACCACCAGGATCTTGGCAGGCGATGGCACGACGCTCGTACAATGTCCTCGAGTGCAAATGAAGGGAGAAATGGACCCGTCAGAGACGCCTTGCAGACGGCGTACTTTCACCACACAAACGAGGTGAGGGCGGGTCGAAGAAGCCGGCACCGGGAGGCTGTGCGGCGTGGGTGGCCTCACTGAGGAGCCTGCGACTTCCTCCAGAGCCCGAAGAGCTTGCCGGCCGACCGGCCCGCGGCACCCTGCTGCGAGCCGTTGGCACACGTGGCGGCCGCCTGCGCCTTGCGCCGGCTGTCCTCCTTCTCCTGCCTGCGCAGCTGCTTCTTCACCCTCTCGTCCAGGAGGGCCTGCATGTCCACCTGCAGGGACGCAAGACGGGTTGTGAGACCACACCGCCGCTCCAAGTCGGACGCCAAGCCCAGGTTTGTTCCGACCGAGGACGAGCCGAGTCGAGCCGAGTCGAGTCGAGCCTAAACAAATCTAACCAAACTTAACTTGACCCATTTTAGCCGCGGCAGCTGCGTGCAGGATCGCACATCCTTAACACAAAAACTTGAGTTTGTCGAAAGTGGTGGTAGAGTAGATATCTTGTAGTTGGTGTAAAGTTTCTTTCTTTTTAATAAGTTGTAGTTTTTATGAAAATGTTCACACTGTCTGTGCAGTGCCACCGAAGTGTTACTTTATACTTTTTTGTTTCTTGATTTAGAAGCGAAATTCAACATACTCGTACACGTGGAAAACAGAATTGGGAGGCTTTACATTCCAAATTTAGCTTCCATTGTTTCAAAAATACTGATTCCCCCTTCCCGACACTCAAACCCTAAAGGTCGGCTAGAACAATCGCATCCTTTGATCCTAGAGCAGGGGCGGCCAGGCTGACCCGGTCTAAGAGCCGCAAGCAAAACCACGAAACTTCTAAGAGCCGCGGGAGGGGGGGGCAAACATTTGTCCAGAGCAATAAACGAAACTCTAACTACTTTCAATCTATCCAGGTCAAAAGCAGGCCAACTGTATACGTAAGGTAGCTGTAGCACAAGACAACCAAACCGCAAACTCTTTGTCAATATAAAACACGTTACATTTCTCTTTTTGGGGAAGTGCTCGCGTGACAGGGAGGGAGGCGGGGTAGTGGGGGGAGGGGGGGGGGGGGGGGGGGGGGTATTGGGGAAGGAAACCACGAGCCGCAGTTTAACACACGAAGAGCCACATGCGGCTCGCGAGCCGCAGCTTGGCCACCCCTGTCCTAGAGCAACATCAACCAGTTTCCCTCAATAAACCCGCAAACGGGCGTTGACGTTGAGCCATTTTTGTCAACCCCCGAAGACGGGAGACTGGAACGGCTTCTCCTCAGAACATGATGCCCTGCTAAAGGGTCCATCTTTTTGTCGTTGGGATCTCGAATATTGCAGTTTTTCGTGTAAATCCAAAATGAATATAACCACCGACTAAGAGTTTCTAGGCTCTACCCAAAGGTTCAGATTGGGGCAGCTGGCCTCCCTCACCTGCCACTGCTCCAATTGCTGAGAGAGCTCCACCTTCTGCTGGATGGCCTCCATGAGCTGGCTGTTGATGTGCATCAGCTCAATGCGGGTCTTGGCCAGCTCAATTTCTGTGTTGTTTTTCCTGAGGAAAACGAGGGCAAGCTCAAAATACATCACGCAATAACCTATACACATGGGCAAAAGGTGACTTCTGTGACGGAATTGGATAGAAAATCGACGGTCATACCATCCGAATATATGGGGTGTTTGACCATCGTTTAAGTTTCTTAAAAAGGGCGCCTGAAATAAAGAAGTAATTTTTTTCGGAGTAATTTTATGGACTGCAACGGACATTGGGTTATGAATGTAGGGTGATAAGTAGTGAATGAATTACCAAACCTGCGCTCATTAATTTCGAAATATTTGCCGTAGCTATTTCATTCTAACTAGGGATCTACTGCCCGTCGTCGAAATATATACCCAATGTTAGAGTTAAGACAAATACATTCTGCTCTGATCTGTCCTCTGGCAAGTTTAAGCATTAAAGTTCCATTTGGATGCGACATCAACCTCCACATTGGACGCAGGAGGGGAGTCGCTGTGAGCCGATCTAACAGCATTGCATTATCCAAGGGTCATGTAGTTGTAGAAAAGCACGCTACACTCTGCTGCCTCTTCAGGCACGCAGCTTTTCTCACTCCTTGCCGTTTCGTTTTAGTAGAGTGGACTCTCTAGACAGCCTAACTCCCCTTCGAGAGGGGTGGAGCAGAGTTTTCTGAATTCTAACAGCTACGGCAAATATTGATGATGAGCAACAAATTTCTGCTTGGAGTGAGCCAGCAAAGGTGAAGAGTTCGAAAGTTAGTAAGTAGATTTTAGGTAATTAGTTTTCTCATCATCCCCTTATACTTTCTACCTGACCTCCCTGGCGGTCAATAATGTCGTCCAAGAGGAATTATTTCTTTATCTCGAGTGCCTTTTCTTTTAAGTCTCCGTTGTTAGTCAAATATCCCGGATAGCTACACTATTTGAACAATTTCGAACTGAGTCTAGAGAAATTTGGGAAAAGTACTATCAGGTGTACTATCAGGTGTGGATATCATTGAGGTGAAGACATTCTTGCAAGGGTTGCAGGACTGATTCTTTTATCTACCAGAGAAGTATCGGATTTGTAATCTGGTTGTGAAACCATGTTTCTTCATGTAACGGCACTCTTTGATGCTAGGTATTTTGCATCTAACTCTGAGCAATGCAAAAACAGCAGTTTGGTTTTGCATGCATTTCTAAATGAAACATCCAAACAAAATCAAAAAGGCTATTCCAGAGCAAGATATGGACACGGTTCATTCTGAAAGCTAGTTAAATTTTCATAAAATTGTTTTTAATAGACAAATTGGTCATGAATACAGGAAGTTAATTACAGCAAGCTTGAAATCATGTCATTATATCCTGACTACGAAAAGTTGCTCTTCGCATTCTTTGCGCATCGAGGAGACAGAGTTTTCATCATAATAGCCTTGTAAGAGTTTCATGAGAGCCGTGATCCAGTATAAACTTTTCGAGAAAAATAAAGTCGCCACACAAAAATTGCATAGCTAATTGCTGGGCAATTGTGTTGCACGTGAAACATGTGGTGTCTACGCTCTTGGCGCTTTTCATCGCTCAGAAGCGATTCCTTGAATGGAGGTACTGGCGCTAACCCAGGTTTTAAAAAATGAAAGCCGCTTACAACTCCCTGTAACGCCGAATTAGAGCGCAGCTCTTGAGGAGGAGGAGGGAAGGGCACCGGGGGGGGGGGGGTTAAACTAACCAGGGGGGGTCACGTGACCTTGGGGGTCACGTGACCCCTAATGCCGATGATGTCATCACTGACGTCACTGATGACGTCATCAGTGACGATGACGATGCGGGTACCGATGACGTCATTAGTGACGTCACTGATGACTTCACCAGTGATGATGACGATGACGATGCGAATGTCGGTGACGTCATCAGTGACGTCGCTGATGACGTCATCAGTGATGATGACGATGACGATGCGGATGCCGGTGACGACATCAGTGACGTCACTGATGACGTCATCAGTGATGATGACGATGACAATGCGGATGTCGGTAACGTCATCAGTGATGATGACGATGCGGATGCCGGTGACGTCATCAGTGATGATGACGATGACGATGTGGATGCCGGTGACGTCATCAGTGATGATGACGATGACGATGTGGATGCCGGTGACGTCATCAGTGATGATGACGATGTGGATGCCGGTGACGTCATCAGTGATGATGACGATGACGATGCGGATGCCGGTGACGTCATCAGTGACGATGACGATGACGATGTGGATGCCGGTGACGTCATCAGTGATGATGACGATGACGATGTGGATGCCGGTGACTCATCAGTGATGATGACGATGACGATGCGGATGCCGGTGACGTCATCAGTGAGGATGACGATGCGGATGCCGGTGACGTCATCAGTGGTGATGACGATGACGATGTGGATGCCGGTGACGTCATCAGTGATGACGATGACGATGTGGATGCCGGTGACGTCATCAGTGACGATGACGTCATCGGGGGGTCACGTGACCTCAGGGGAGTCACGTGACTTCGGGGGGTCACGTGACCTCGGGGGGTCACGTGACCCACCACGAGGTCACGTGACCCCGGTGGGGGCTCGCGCGGTGCATTATGGGACATTTCCCATGATGCACCGCGCGGTTACGCCGACGGCGACGGCGACGGCGACGCCACTCAAGCCGGAAACGGGCCCCTAAGAGCTGCGCTCTAAAACGAGTGACAGGGTGTCAAGTGGCTATCTGCCGGTCACAGGGTGAATGCCCCGCGGAGCTTTCCCGCCAAATGGCACCTCAACTCACGATGATGTGTCGTGACAGGCTGGTAAGACAGTCACTAAATAATCTAATTGGTCTGGGTTCGATTCCCGCCTGGCACAAACGCTTTTTTACTGCAATGGCCTCTTTCACCCGCCACGCTTAAAATGGTGGGGGTGTCTAAAATAGGGAGCGTGACAACATCACCTGGCTCAGCCAATCAGCATAGAGTAATCGGCGGCTTCACTTTTCGGCTTCACAAATTTCTGGACCCCCTTCACCCCGACGAGAGAAAGCATGTTCCACGTGAAAATAAAGTATGCCAGATGCAGGCTCGTGAACCTGCCTAAAAAACAAAAATGTTCTTTCCCTATCGCTCACGCGCGCTGCGGGAAAGCGAACCTACAACACCGCCGCCGCGAGTGTCGTTTCGACGAACTATTTTTATTCAATGTAGGCTCAATATCAAGTTAAAAGCTCGTTAAACGCTGGCAATTATTTCAAAATATCCAAAATGTATTATAGCCGCATTTTCTAAAAAATACGTTTTCCCCACGAAGGCACCGACAGTGCGCACTCGATTTCATGGCGGAACAGCGCTACCGCTTCGCTGCACTGCACCGAAGCATGGGGCAAAGCCAACTGAACGAAGCCAGTACAGCGCTCGGTTTGGTGGTTTCGGCAGCTTTCCAAACCAAAAGGGTCGCGGGTAGAAGAGTGTCGGCAACGGTTATTCGAATCCCTTTGACAGGGTATAGAAGTATCTATGCCAGGGGTGGCCGCACTTTAACACGCTCTTCGCGCGTTAAGGTGCGGATCGCCGGCTCCCTCCCTTTCCTACCTACCAATCTACCTACCCCCTACCCTCCTCTCCTCTCCTCTCCTCTCCTCCCCTCCCCTCCCCTCCCCTCCCCTCCCCTCCCCTCCCCTCCCTCCCCCTCCCCTTCCGCCGCTCTAGAAAGCTTAATTTCTCCAGAGCACACGGCTGCGCTGCGGCGAAGCAAAAGTTTGGGCTTCTCAACGCCCGTGATGTCGCTTCTCCGCACTACATCAAAGCGAGGGGAGAAGCGCACTCAACGGAGAACGGTGCAACTAGCCCCACCCGAACAGGCTATTGTCAGAAATGTTGCGGAACCCCAGAATACTGACGATGTTTGATACAAAGATCATATCAAATAGTATGTTATTCGAAGCAATGATTTAAATTTCTTTAAAATTTGCTCGAGCCTACCGTAGCAAAGAGCCGAGGTATCAGTTTCGGAACTAAGAAAGCCGGATGCATTCAATGTAATTGGCCACATTTAGGTGAAGACATAAGCAGTTTGTGGCAGTTTAGCGTTTTAATCCGGCCGATAAAGGCCCTTCCAAGAATCGCCTTCTACACGCTTCGGAACGCATTCTCAGCACGTGTGGTACCTCTTTCGCGGGGTATCAGACGTGCGTCCACCCATTACCACCTATAGAGCACAAGGGCACTCCAAGCGCCGTGTCCGTTCACCCCAAAGCTGAGACTACAGAGGGAGCTGCGTCCTCGAATTGGGCCAGTCATACGCCTCTCTCTCGCCTCGCCATCACGCTCCCGGCCATACCCACGCGCGGAGAGCCAGGTCGGGTGACAAGAGGGAGGCGGCTGACTGGTCTTCCACCGCCAGTACGTCGTGCAGCTTGTCACAATGAGCGCGACGCCAAGACGGACGCGTGTGGCGCTGGTCCTGCAGCGGCCCTGCAGTGTGACATTACCTGGCGACCGCCTGGTCCCTGGTGTCCCAGGCTCGCTTGACGATCTCGTCCTTGGCCATGCGGCTGCTGCCCACGTCGTCGCGCAGCCGGTCCCTCTCCTCGTGCAGCGCCTGCAGCTCGGTGTCGTGCAGCGTCAGCTGGCGCTGAGCCTCGCTCAGCTCCACGCTGCGCTGCCGCAGCTCGTCCGACTTGTCGCACAGCTCCCGGCGCAGCTGCTCCGCCTGGGCGCGCTCCTCGGCCAGCGTCTGGCAACCCTGGCAGCCCTGAAAGCAAAACGTCATTTGAACCTTACCGCACGAGCCAGTCGGTTTTCAAGCGTGTGTCAGCATTTGTCTACGTGCAGAGAAAAAAAAGGGGTATGTCTAAAAACACTATAAAAAGGTTAATATGTTTGTTTGTTTGTTTGTTTTTGTAATTTTTTTTTCACTAACAAAAATTTGTTTAGCCCTATTTACGCCGTTAGACGCAATTTAAAGGGAGGGGGGATAGCCCTGCTCCTGGCCTTGCCCGGCGTGTGTGTGTGTGTGTGTGTGTAGGCGTTGTAGAAGAAAATTAGGGGGCACGAGCACAGGGCGCATTTGTGGCGCAGCCCGGTGTGTGTGTGTGTATATGTTTGTGTGTGTGAATGCGTGCGTGCGTGCGTGTGCACGTGCGTGCGTGCCTGCGTGAGTGTGTGTGTGCCAGCGTGCGTGTGTGGATTTTTTTATGCTTCAGAAACAAATAATTTACATAGAGACATTATTGTTTTCAAAATATCCCAGACATGGCTGCCTGCGTTTGCGGCGTGCTCAATTCAGCTCGTTTATTTTTATGAGTGCATGCGAGTCGTCTTGCATTCACCGTGGTGTTTGGGGGAAGAAGTCCTCCACTGACCTAATCCGCAGCAAACAACTGCGTCTTCGGAAGCGCTGTGCGGGTGCTTCTGTTCGTAGCGGGACTGACCTGAGCCTAGCTAGCGTCCCAAGTATACTATGTTGCTGGATCTGGCTTGATTTGTTCCTTTGCGCGGGTTGGCGCTGAATAAAAATGTTGGTTCTAGTGAAAGCGGCCCCACGACTCTGTGAATTGTGCAACAGTTGTGATTGCAACCACGGTTTAATACCAAGAAGAAAACTACACGGGCAAGAATTTGCGAGCCATTTGGCTGGAGGCAATCGGGTATTCGGCTCGCATTTCAAGTTTGCCTATGTGCCCGTCATTTCGCTTCGAAAGACAAGTAGCTCTCAAGTTTTGCAGTGCACCTGGCTTGCCAAAGCGAACATTTTTAGGTCACGTTTTAAATGTGCGTCATGATGCTCACTCAGCTTGCTCGCGGATGCCATGCAAAAAAAAAAAAAAAAAGGAACATAAAAGCTAGAATAAGTGCATATTTAATTTTCTAATGCTTTTCGTCGCTTTTTACTGCACATGGGCAGACGCTTGTATCGAATCATGGCTCGTGCAAGATGGAGCGTCACCACCGCCTAAAAACGTTGTAAACGTCGAAGTCTAAAAACGTTAATTGTAAACGTTTTTATACTCTGTTTCATACTTAGCGTGCAACGCTGTCAAAGCTACTGGAGCGAGCATGGTGCTTGATCTCGTTGATCACTTGCACGAGTTCTCGCGCAAACAAAACCATACATAAAGCCATGCGCTCGCGCCAGTATCTTTGACAGCGTTGCACACTAAGTATGAAACAGAGTATAGACTTAGACGTGGGTAGAATAGCAGACGGACGAAGGCATGACGAGCGAGTGCTCACCGATCCGGCGAGCATGTCCTGGAGCAGGAGCCGGAGGTCGGCCAAGATGGCGGACAGCATATGTCCGGTCACGTCCCTCGGGTGCACCTCGGCCGGGGACGGAGGCACACCGCTGTCCGAGGACGCCGCGCTGTCGCGATGCCGCCGCAAGTCGCTCACCAGCCGCTGCAGCTCCTGTAGCGCCTGGGCCAGCTCCTGCCGCAGCTGCACAGGACGGACGGGGCTCGGGTCGGTCGCCGTCGAAGACGGCCAGATGCCCGACAAAAACGAGACACTGATCTCCTGACCCAACAAGGAACGTCGCCAGACCAGACAATGATGCGGATAGGAAGCCAACATAGATCGTAGCTGTATCAGAATTTGAGCTAACACAGGTATAGTGGCCGCATCTGAACATCGTCGACGTTGATAGAGATTCGGACCCAGGAAGGATCGTGCAGGCTCCATAGCCATCCGGATCCGACATGTGTCCTAAAGACGATTGCAAGTGAAGCGACTGGCCGCCGCCATGTTTCTGCTCGTGCGCACAAGCCCGTGCCACTTAGCCTGCCAAAGCTAAGCGGCACGTGCACCCTGCACGTGCTTGCACGTATTCGGCACCAGTCTGGACGACCAGGGTCACACTGCTCCTCATACATCCTACAAAAGACAGTCTGCAAACACGAGTCACCGCAATATCCCTGGTTCGAACAGTTTCTCCTTGAACTCAGAGCCAAACGGCATTCGAAAGTAGGAAGGAAAACCCTTCTCGCCACACTTCTCATTTTCCCCTCTTCCACTGCTATCTTGATGGCGGGGAGACTCGTTTTGTTGCTGTATCTTGGGGCCCGATAAGCCGAAATAGGCAACCGGCTTATCGAGCCCCAAGATGCCGCAATAAAGGGAGTCCCCCCGCCATCAAGATAGCAGTAAAAGAGGCCGAAATGGGAAGGGTGGCGAGGAGGATTTTCCTACCACACCGAAAATGATTTTGTAGGTCGGTCATTAAAGCCCGACCTACAAAAAGTTTTTCCGCAAGATACGAAAATCCTCCTCTCCACCTTTCCCATATCCCCCTCTCCCACTGCTATCTTGACGGCGGGAGGACTCCTTTTGTTGCTACATTTTGGGGCTGGATCACTCCTGGCTTATCCAGCCCTAAGATGCGGCAACAAATGGAGCCCACTCGCCGTCAAGATACCAGTGGGGGAGAAGGTAATGGGTAGGTGGTGAGGAGGATCTTTCTACCCTGCAGAAAATTATTTTCGAGGTCGGCTTTTAAGGGACGAACAGAATGGCAAAGTCCCGTATGTCGTAAAATTGAGGTCGCCAACTGTACCGTCAACAAATACAGGGGAAACGCGAACGGAATCGCGACACAAATTAGACGGGTCGTTTAAACACTAGGGACTACCGTCGTCGCAGTTTCGCCATTCTAATTCAACACTCTAAAAAATGCCCGTGCATCTGCTTTCCCGCACAACACTCGTAGAGCCAATCACCGCAACTTACGGAGGCAGATCAGCGAATGACGATGCCGAAACATATGTTTAGACCAAAAAAACGCAGCCTGAGTTGTGACATTAAGGCATGTGTGACGTTTTGAATTGCTTAATGTCACAACTCAGACTGCGTTTTTTGGTCTAAACATATGTTTCGGCATCATCATTCGCTGAGCTGCCTCCGTGAGTTGCGGTGATTGGCTCTCGGAGTGTAGTGCGGGAAGGCAGACGCACGGGCATTTTTTAGAGTGAAGCATAGCTGACGTCCCTCGGTCAAACTCGACTGTGCCAGTCTGCCTGGAGCATCTGGAGGCTTGAGTAATAATACATCAGTCAAAATCAAGTCGCTTATATCCGAAGTGATGAATTGATAACCAAACATGTCCACGAAAGCCAATTCCTAGAGGAAACAACACGCGACAGCTTCGCGTTCGGTCTTTTTATTTATTTATTTATTTGAGATGAGCTTTGAGCTTGCGCTCCAGCTTGCAGCACGATCAGACACGCGGGTGCACGGGCGCACGGGTAAGCAGGTCGGAAAATTCAATGCCGATTCGCCTCGAAGCATAATTTGAGATAATTTAATTGGAGGCCTTCTCAACGAGAGCACTTTCCAGCGCCCGACACACGGGCACACGAAGAGTGCGCCTTTTCTGCTGCTGGTGCGTACGCTGTCATCGAAGTGCACTCTCAAGAAAGAAGGGTGTAAAATGGTGTATCGTTACACCCTTTGTCCCGTATAATACACCCCAAAACTTCAATTCGACGTACAGCGCCCTGAAGTCAAACAGACGGCCTCACATTTTACGAGGGGCTTGATAGTCATGTGGTACGACTTATTAAAATAGCTAATGTACACTTTACTGAATACAAAAAAAATAATAATCGGGGTTTTCTTGCGTGGTCGAGATAAGATTGGTTGAACTGCGCAGGTTTATTTTAGCATAGCAATACAGGTACGTGTGAGTCGTGCCGTGTCTGGTCGCGATCTGGTGGTCCGCGCGCGGAAGCGGCTGGCAGAGTCCATGGTCACCCGGCGGCTGTGGCGATGATGATGACGGCGGTGGCGATGATGATGATATCCAGACACCTCCCCCACTTTGGAAGAACAACACTCACACTTTCCCAAAGCGGTCAGGTAGACGACTTATACGTCCACTCCTTGTGACGGTAGGTGCCACGGCCGGTTGCAGGTGTCCTCTTGTTCGCCGTGTAGTGCCGGTCGTCGTCTGCACCACGTAGGAACGGGGTTGAGGCGCTGGCCTAAGAATGTGGCTGTAACACGCTGCTCCTGTCAGAATTCTGACCGCAGTTCCAGGTGGAAGGGTGTCGAGCTCACGTGTTCTGCGGCACTCGTCATAGTGCTGGCGCATCTTTTCCTTGTATAACGCGTACGGAAATCTGTGGTGTCCCATCGAGGTTGGAGAGATTCTGGTTTTACTGGCACGTTTGTGCGCAGTCTTCGTCCCATGAATAACTCCGCTGGTGCGTAACCTTCGATTCCCGGGGTTGCACGCTGGGCCAACAGTGCCTTGTGGATGTCTGTCGATTTCCCAAGGAGTTGCTTAGCCGTTTGGATTGTCCTCTCGGCCTCCCCGTTGCTCTGCGGGTAGTACGGGCTCGACGTTGATTGGGCCACTCCCCATTCGTTCAGAAACACTGCGAATTCGCGTGAGGCGAATTGCGGTCCGTTGTCTGTTCGGAGAATTTTCGGCGCTCCATACCGTGCGAACATTGGGTCGAGGACGGCGATGATGTCCTTGGTCGTCGGCCGCCTCAGAGGTTCCAGCTCGAAGAATCTTGAATAGTAATCGACAGCAATCAAGTAGTTACTGCCTTCGTGGACGAAACTTCTGACCGCAGTTCCAGGTGGAAGGGCGTCGAGCTCACGTGTTCTGCGACGCTTGTCATAGTGCTGGCGCATCTTTTCCTTGTATAACGCGTTTCTGGAGCGAAAGTCTGTGGTGTCCCATCGAGGTTAGAGAGATTCTGGTTTTACTGGCACGTTTGTGCGCAGTCTTCGTTCCATGAATAACTCCGCTGGCGCGTAACCTTCGATTCCCGGGGTCGCACGCTGAGCCAACAGTGCCTTGTGGATGACTGTCGATTTCCCAAGGAGTTGCTTAGCCGTTTGGACTGTCCTCTCGGCCTCCCCATTGCTCTGTGCCCGGCGGCTGTGGCGATGATGATGATATCCCGACAGGCCCTACTGTAAAAACTCGGTGTTTTCTTTATGAGGTCTTTGATACGTAATTTAGCTATTTAATAAGTTATATCGCACCGTTATCAAGCCCCTCGTAAAATTCGGGGCCGTCTGTTGGTCTATAGGGCGATGTACGTCGAAATGAAGTTTTGGGGTGTATTATATCGAACAAAGGGTGTAACGATGCACCTTTTTTTTTTTTTTTTTTTTTTTTTCTTGAGAGTGTGACTTATCGCGCTCCGAAGGGACGGACGCCCCGAGGAGGGGGAACACGGCGTCGGCGCATTCCTGCGGCGGACTCCCAAGACGCGCACTACCCGGACGTGTCTCGCGGAGCCGCGGGGACCCTCGGCCCTCGGGCGGACCTCCCAGAATCAAACTTGTTTTTCCTCGGAAATCGAGCGCGCTTTCGCTTTACCGCCGCCTGCTGATGACCTGGCGCAAATCTAGAGCGACGTGTCGTGCTCGGAAGCGGTAAGGCACGCCACGACCGGTGTGCACAATGGAGGTCCGAGCCAGTGCTGAAGAAATTAGAGCACTGCGCCCCCATTGTGCTGCGCCCCGCAATCTGGTTAACGTTGCATCACGCCGACTTTCTTTTTCCTTCTGAGGCAGACCGGACTTCTTATGTGGGCATTTTTGCGTGTACCGAGAAAGAAACATCGCTATTAACATTCCCAGAAGTATACTAGGAACTAGTCTACCTCGGGCCAGATCTGGGATTCGTGACCAGATCTGGGATTCCGTGTTTTCGGAGTCCAGTTTTAGCGAAATTCAGAGTGTTTCTCGAAGATTATTTCTGGAAAAGCTTGTTTACGGAAGAACTTGCGGAACAGACTTAAGAAGGTCGAAGGAAATATGAAGAACTATACACGCACTAAAAAAAAAAACCTTTCGCGATAACAGTCAATAATTGTCAACCAAGCTTTTTTTTTTTTTGTTGATCGAATGCATTTTTGATTAATGCATTCAAAATGTTGCACTTTTACAATTATGGAGCTTTCAGTTTTGTCCTTTTTTTCTTTTTTTATAGAAAAGCGAAGCTCTGGGCTCTATCTTTTCGAAGACAAAGTTAACAAACAGGCAACCTGGTTAAAGTTATGCATCATTTTAACCGTCCGTTGGTCTCCGGTTTAAATTTTATGACGATAATCATTCCCGGAAAAGGGGAACAAAGGGGACAGAGAAGAAACACAAATCTCCAAACACAGCTAGGTGACCGCTGCGAGACCGAAAAAACCCAACTTGTCCTGGTATCGAACCATGGACCTCTCTATTTCCAGTGGAGCGCTCTACCAACTGAGCTAACCAGGAGTTAGACGTCAGTAGAGCACAGGAAATGGAGAGGTCGCTGGTTCGATACCCGGACCAGGCGGATTTTTTCGGTCGCGCACCAGTCATCTAGCTGTGTTCGGAGATTTATGTTTGTTCTCTGTCCCCTTTGTTCCCCTTCTCCTGGGATTATTATCGTCATTCTTGTCCAGCTCGCTTGCACCTTTGCATCGATTGCATTATCATCTTAAATTCTATGTTGATTTTCTCCTTAAATTAAAACAAAAATTGACAAAATCGGGCAATAGTTCACTCAAAAGGCACCCAATTAGGAAATCTGAGGAAAATCACAGGCAGATATAGATAGCACATCTTAACTGTATACGGTAGTATTTCCTCAACAAATTAAAAACAATAAATACGAAATCCAGGAAACACTAAAAGATCCCGGATGTTTTCAGAGACTGGAAAACCTCGAGGAACCCTCACACAGATGCGGGTTCCCCCGCGTGACCCCTTTCCCACGTGAACGAAGCACATCCATCAGGCGGCCGCGATCTGTACCGCTTCTGTCGGAGGTCGCTGCGAGAGGCGACGAGAGGGTTTGGCAGGACCAAGACTACCTTCTTCAGAAGACATCGGCAGCCTCTTTAAAAATCGAAGGAAACAATCGTGCAAAGAGTCCCCGAAGGTGCTGTACATTTTTCGGCTCACTTTCTAAGCTTCGCTGTCGACAGGCATCTGGTATACGGAACCGTGGGTTCTGAAACTTCCCTGGGTTAAGAGAGAGAGCCCCCGCGAGACCAGAAGACACCTTCCAGGTGGAGCTACCAAATCTGCGCACATCGGTCAGTTTGTAGGAATCAGGTATCCACTGGCTGACTGGCTACTGTTTTGCTGGTGCTGACAGGTTCTGGAGAAAATCCCCCTAGAATAATCTAGAATTTCGAGCGCAGTGAGATCGAGCGAAGACACTGATTGGACACGAGTTCAATCAGTGTCTTCAGGCCAGCGTTCGACTCGACCTCGTGTCCAATCAAAGCGGAGGATGGGGTCCAATTGCCGAGTTGGCGCCATCCGACCGTCATGACGGTCCCCGTAGAGGAAGAGGATGTCCGCAGGCTATGATCATTCTAGGCGGTGTCGTCACGAACGACACGCTGGATGATTCGCTAGCTGCGGGCTGTCCCCACCCGATCAGTGGCTCGAATGGCGGAAATCCTCCGGACAAGCGAGGCGTGTAGACGACCGACCGCAGGGTGTGATATGCACACGGTGGTCAGAGGTGGACAGCGGCGTGGGGAACGAGCGCCACGGCTGAGCGAGCGCCGTGAAACGGTCCGGGGGCCCCGCTTGTCACGGGAGGCGCGGCCGGCCGTGACCGCCCCGGAAAACACCCACCTTGTCTTCCTCGCTGCCCAGCTCGCACTCGTCGCACTCGATCTCGTCCAAGTCCGCCGCGAAGCCCGCCGACGAAGAGCCCAGCTGAGACAGCTGCCGGCTACGACGCCCCTGCAAGGCCAGACACGCGGTCATTCTGCCTGCCGCTCTTGCAAGATGGGCTCTAGACAGTGCGCCACGGATGCTACGAGTTATCGAGCCAACCAGTGATTTCCCCACACACACCCCAGGGGGGTGTGTAAGGGGGGGGGGGGTTGTACACCCTAGGGGGGTGTACAACCCCCCCCCCCCCCTTGCTTTTCTGAAGGCACCCACCTAATTCGCAAGGACTCCTCTATTCTTCCAATGCCCCCCCCCCCCCCCCCGTGAAAATTTAGCCACCCCCCTAAATTTCAATTCCTGGGGAAACCCCTGGAGGCCAACCTAGGGCCGTGTGAATTTTACGTGGCCTTGGAGGGGGAGGGGGAGGGGGGCGCAGTGAGTCGCGGAAAGCGAATCACGGGCTACGTTCACAGAGCTGGACTGGCTATGGTGGCTTGTAACGTCCGCTGCGGTCAAACAAGAGGTAAAACGGAGTATAGAGCGATGCAAAAACCGAGGTTGTTTGGCTCCTTTTCGTACTGGTGGCAGCAAGAAACCAGAAACACCGGACTGCCCAATCGAGTGATTGTTCGAGGTGAGCACATTCCGGCACGCTCTTAGTTTTGATAACATATGTTTATTTGCGGGAAAAATAAATATCTGCCGTATAGTAGGCCGCCGGAGTCACTGTTCCTGCTAATGGACCTTGTTCCAGTAAGCTTCCGTGCATACGTACATCCTCTCCCCTGGCCCCGCTTCCCGGTGGCTGCATTTTTGCGGGGCGCCATACCACGCGACAAACATTGGCAGCGCCCATCTTTCCGCGTATTTCGTCTTGTTTGACGATTCTTTTTCTTGGGATCGGTAGGATGGGTGATGAAAAGCAATGAAAACCGATACAACGGCACGATGTTAATGTGTTTTGACGAGCCGAGTCCCGTTGGGCTGCCCTCCATTTGTAGTTCGCGGACAAACCACCACACGGCGCTTGTAGTCCTCCAAAAAGGTCCATTGCGTCGTGTTCTGTAGGACTGAAGTTGCGATTCTCACGGGCCATTTTATTCGAAAAAGTGAAAACAGAAAGACAAGTGTAGAGGTTTAAAAACATCCCGGGAACTCAGAACAAAATCCGCCGCAAATTTAATGGCCTAATAAAAAGTTACGAGTTAAAATCTAATTATGTCTAACCTTTTTCACGACAAAAAGAAGAAAAAAAACGTCGTTGAGGGTTATTTAGGCGTTTAATTCAACAAAAGTAGGAAACAAAGAAAATTCATTTGTTCAATAAAATGCTGCAATGACCTGCGCCAACACTTTTGTTCTCTTTGATTTGGTAAAAGCTAACTTCCATATTTATCGAGCCATGGGAAATTTTCAGGTTTTTATTGTTAATTCCCGATTGGAGACAAATCCTCCTTCAATACTGACGCAAAACAAATACGTCGTTTTCGCGGTATTTGAGAGGGCACTCTTAGAAGCCTCGAGTGACAGCATGCGGTTCGCTAAAAACTAAGTATCCACGCGTAAGCTCGCAAGAGAACCGTGGTCTCTTCAGCTAAAGTTGCTGGAGAAGCGAATTAAGTCTCTTCGGCTACGTACACTAGAGAAGCTAAGTATCTTCACCTCAGTTAGCTAGAGATGCCAAGTCCTTCCAGCTAAGTTCGCTAGAGAAGCTCTCCTTGCAAAACGTCGGTTGCCCCTCTGCTGCTTCTTTCTTCCTATACTATTCGCGACTCCAGCGACCTATAGGGGGCGCCACCACCAAACAAACATGGCGGCTGAGTCCAGGTCGCGTCGGCTCGGCCGCGCCGCCTGAATGGGTGGCGCATTCAATTTAACAAATTTTCTTTTGTTGAATGCCCAATTTTATGGGTATTTGAACTGAGACAGTTAAGTGTAGCCGGTGCGCATAAACTTGCCGAGCATAGTTTTGTTTTGCCGGTGTTTTTTTGTTCTTTTCATGTCAAACTTTCGTTTCGGAGACTTCGATCAAAACCGAAGCTATGGGCTCCGGAGAAACGGTAATAGACTCTAATTAGTTTTGATCATCTAAGGAAAGCGGCGAGGGCTACAAAATTGTTCCATCGAGAGTAATTTTTAGCTAACTCGCATGGCCTCGACCATGCGACTTATCTGTCCGCGAAATTGAGCTATGTGCCTGTCCGCGTTTCAAGAAACAGCTCCAGTCGTGTGCTCGGTCAAGAACACAGGCTGCAGGAAAATTACAAAAATTAAGCAAGAGCTTCTTGAGCCAAGGAGCATGTCAACTCGCTGGCGCTTCACTAAGCAGCTGATACTCGTATTTTAATTCAGGCTTTAGTAGCAATCGAGAAGTCATTTTGACGAATATGCGGATTATGTATTATATTACGTACTATGTCCCACTAAAGCGATATTAGTATATTCTTCGGGTTGAAATATGAACTCAGTTAACTAACTATTAGGTGAACTGCTGAATAAAAGTATATTTGACAGACAGAGAGATACTACTTAAACTTAGCCAAATAGTTCTAGCCGGTAGAACGGAGACGAGTGCGGACAAACTGAAGAGAGTCTTCATTGGAGATTCACGCAGAACCTCTCTGGTATTGAACTTGACTTCGAATCCTGAACGGATAAAATGAGTATTTTTTGTGGCCGGTCAACCTGAGCAATGTAGACGTATATTGCTGCTGGCTTCGACAGGGGTTATAATATAAATATTGGAGGCGCGATAGATCCTATGACGTGACAGCTTCTAACTTTGCGAGACGCGTCCCCCACCTTTTGAAAGCAGATAATTTCCCTCATTAATCATATGCAGCGAGCAAGTTTTCTGAATCAAGTAATTGCGAAATTAGCCCAACTGCTTCAATGTGGTCTTTTTCGGCGAAAAGCCGCCAAGATGAATAGCCAACGCACCGACCGGCGTTAGTGGCTCAAATTAACTTGAAGCTAATCGAGCACAACCAAACTCAAGCTATCGAACCTTCCCATTCACTTGACTGCAACATTGGTGTTCCCTCCAGTGAAACACTTCGTCTGTCGACCTCAGTCCACTGTTCTACATCCTTACAAAGAAACCACTTATCAGTTACCAAGCAGTCGTCACTTTGAATGTGATTAGAGACAGACGAGAAATCAAAACGTTTTTCCGTGATTCCTCCTCATCCAAAAAATTGAAAGCACGCGACCGTGTGTTGTGGAGTAAACGGGCTTTCAAACACGTGATGGAAAGAAACAATCTACTGAGGCTTCACCACACTAATGAACACTCAGGCAAACTTTAAAAAATTACGGACCCTCGTCAAATTACATTGCTCGCCCCCACGCCGACAGCGCGTGTCCGCGAAAGCCATCAGAGACTCGGCGGGGCGCGGAGCGACCTGGACCGACTGGTTCCCGGTTTTCCCGCTTGGCGGCGTCCGTTTTGCTGGAGTGGCGAATAGCTTCCACCACGTTCGTATTTTGTGAACACTTTTGTGGAATAAATTACAGTATTTGGCAGTGTGCGAAACAATATTTTATCAGTTAAACACACATGACACATGCCGTGCAGGTCTCCCTCTGGCATGTGCAGCGGTGCGCATGCCAGGGGAAAAAAAAGAGGGGGGGGGGGGGGGGTGCAACGTTACGCAGCGGACGAGAGGCGGACCTGCTCCTGACAGCCCCCTCGTGATCTGGACGTTGTCGAGGGCCGCGCACGCGAGCGACCGAATTAAAGCGAAATGCAGACGTCAAACCCTGCATCTGGATCACTGGGACGCCCATATCGAGCGGAGGTATACGACAAGAACTTGCGGCGATATAAAATCGTACCAAAACGACGATTCCCGCTTTATTCGGTTTTCGTGCAGCAAATGGTGAATCCCGCCAAACCGCGAGCCTCGGCGTTACGAAAGAAAATATACGTTTGTACGCACCTTTACCTTTGAAATGGTTGTTTTGCACTTACGGCTAAAGATGACCTTTGGACATTGGCCACGAGATTGAACCGTCACGCGCGTTGCGGGGAATAGCGGAACTGCGGCTCAAGTTCGACCTAGAAGCTTTGAAGTTCGACCTAGAAGAAGGTATATACGAGCGCAAAAGTCGGAGCTTTGCCAGGAGCAACGTGCAGTTCCAGAGCACCGTATAGTTCGTGCGCTAGAAGCAGTTTCCAAAGCTCATGTGCCCACCTACATCGAGGTTTCTTATGAGCTGCGTGCGTACCTGATGTTACCCTGCCGTGTGAACGCGAAAACGTTATAACGTTTGAAGTGGGGTTACAGTTCATGAACGTCCCACGGACAACCGAGTCGAAATTGAGAACGCCCATAAAATGCACAGGGTAAGGAAAGGCTCGCACAGGACATCATAGAGCCACGGGTCATTTCTTCTTGGTCTTGCGAAAGAAAAACAGAATTCGGTGGTTCGATGCCGCGGAAGATGCGCGCTCAGAAGCGGGGTCACCCCAATGGCCTAGACGTCAGGCAAGTCACGTGTGGGCTGTGCCATGCAGGACCCCGGCGTTGTAGAATCGCTCTCTTTGCATGTGTTTTAAGAGGTGAGCCCTTCTAGTAGCGTAATTGCTAGCCATGACTCTAACATGGTCGCTTTTCAAGAAAGCTTCCTACACGGCCATAGGGAGGGGGGGGGGGGGGGGTATGCAATTTTATTTTTAGACGATATCAATCCTGCAATTACTGGGCAACAGCGTCGCTGTGGCACTCGATGGGCCCTACGGGCACCATGGTGTTTTCGACGGATCGGAGCCCCTTCGGTCGTTAGATTCCGCTTTCAGCGACGGAAATAAGAGTAACGTAAAACAGTCAACCTTGACGGTGTTAATTTTTTTTAGCACGATGGCTTCGAGCTTCCGCCGTGCTTGTCAGACATAGCACCGAGCTCGTCGCTCACATATGATAACCTATAGAATCGTATACCGTCACGAGTATAGAAACCATAAAGCCGGGGTCACACTGCTTATACATCATATACCATATACAGTGTGCAAGCACGAATCACCGAAATATCCGTGGTTCGAATGCCGCGTGCCAAGTTTTCTCCTT